ATTCTGGTTTTTATTTGTCGCTTCTTAAGATTTCTTTTGCTGATGATCATTACTCGACTTGTTACAGATTTCAATTATAACGAATTTGGAATTGCTGATTTCTAATATGTTTCCAGACTATATCCTTAACATTACAGTGTATCCATTGGAACGAGTTTGGATTTCACAAAGCAACAGCAATTCGAAGTGGTGCTTCAAACTTTTATAATGGGAACAATGAGTGTTTGGGTACGACATTATCTGATATATTATTTAAAATAACTACTATTGCATTTTTTTTTTATGTAATGTATATTGAATAAAAATATGGTTAAAAAGATGAAAGTCATTGAAAAACATGTTTATAGTGTAAGTGAAATATTAGTTGAATAAAATTTGTATCCGAACATATAGACCAAAGGAAGCATAGACTTTGATGCTTGCTTTTTTGCCAAATATTAGATATATGATTCGAATTCTAAACCTTATAGCAAGAAAAACTCTAGAAACCCTCGGCCCTAGCAGTAAGACTCTAAAAGCCCTCAACTACTGGATTCTTCTTTTAGTATTAGTGGCACTGAGTATCAAAATAAATCCATTGGGAATACAGCTTTAAAAAAAAAGGGTTAAGCGCACCACTGTATCGAGTCATAAAAATGAATCTTGTAATTAAATCGCTGTGTTACATAATCTTGAAATCAACTCATATTAATTTGAGAAAGGGTTTGTCTTTAGCGGGTTTCTAAGCCCATAATTTTGCAGTTTTTCTAGTACAGGCTCCTTTCAGATGTCTTTTTGATGACAAACGAAAACTTTGTAAGATAAGCTATCAAAAAAAAAAAAAATGAAAGGAAGCAAACAATTAACGCAACAAAAAGTTAGTGTTTTACGTATTTAGTGCTTATGTTTGGAAAATTTCTCAGAACCAAACCAATTAGGGAAGGAAGCAAAGAATTGAACCAAAAGCAACCATATTATACAACACTGGAAAAGGAAAAGAAAAAAAAAGGAAGGACAGAAGTAAGAGGGAAAGTTTGTAAAGAAATCAAACAAAATATTTAGAAGAAAATTAGGTTTTATTGTTAGAATTAATCTTGTATACATTGTAAATGTATACACTATCATCATTAGATATATGACGTATGTGTAAACTTTGAATTTGAAATTCAAATTTTGCTCATATATCATTCATTCAGCCGTGATAGTGTATACACTGACAGTGTATATAAGATTTACTCTTACTGTTATAACCTATAAATGCAGGAGATTGGAAAGAAAACTATAAGAAAAGCAAAAACTATGGGCCTGTTTGGAAGCTTGGTTTTTTACCAAGTTTGTATAAAACTAGTTTTTTAACAACTTTTGCTACAGGAACCCCAAAAAACTTATCAAAGTTTTTAACCTACACACTTAAAATATCCAAAACACAACAAAAAAAAATTCCCTTCCCCTTTTCTTCTTCTTCCTCCCTCACTACCACCTCCATTGCCGGCTCCGTCTAGGGCTGTCAACGGGCCGGGTCCGGGTCGGAATTCATTATTCCGGACCCGGACCCGAATTACTATGCCGGATCCGGACCCGACCCGTTTACCCGACGGGTCCTTTATTCTACGTTCCGGATCCGGATCCGGCGGTCCCGGATCCGAATCCGGGTCTACCCGAACAAATTTACCAAATTTTATAATTTCTAATAAAAATGAGAAAAAAATATATTTGTAAACTAATTTCTAACTAATGCAAAGAAAAAATCAAATAAGAAAAGAAATCAAATTAACTTTATTAAAATACATCACCCTAATCAAATTATATTGATAAATATATATATTTTAAATTATTAATTCATTTATATCCGGATCCGGGTCTAATACGGGCCGGAATACTATATTCCGTATCCGACCCGTTTTTTTGTTTGACAAAACGGATCCGGATCCGGATCCGGAAAACGGAATTAAATCCCTACCCATACCATCATTAATTTCACGGATCCGGTCCGGATCCGGGTCTAGACCCGACCCGTTGACAGGCCTAGCTCCGTCACCAATTTCCGGTGCCGGTGCCGGTCTTTTTTTTTTTCCCCATTTTTTTCCCTCTCCCCCTCTTCCTCCCCTTCCATCATCCTCCCTTGTCTTTTTTTTTTTTTCTCTCTTACGTCTGGCGCAGAGGGGGGTGGCACAGAGAGGGGCGGCCAAGGGGCAGAGGGGGAGGGGAAGGGGCAGAGGGCGGCCAAGGGGGGCAGAGGGGAGGGGAAGGGGCAGAGGGGGCTGCGGGGGGAAGATGGGGGAGAGAGAGGCGGCGGCGGAGGGGGAAGGGGGCAGGGAGGGGGACGGCGGGGGAGAGAGGGAAGGCGGGGGGGGGCAGAGAGGGGCTGCGGGGGGGAAGGCGGGGGAGAGAGAGGCTGCGGGGGAGGGGGAATGCGGGGGAGAGAGGGAAGGCGGGGGAGGGGGGAAGGGGCAGAGGGGGCTGCGGGGGGGAAGATGGGGGAGAGAGAGGCGGCGGGGGAGGGGGAAGCGGTAGGGGAGGGGGAAGGCGGTAGGGAGGGGACGGCAGGGGAGAGGGAAGGCGGGGGAGGGGCTGGGGGGAAGGCGGGGAGAGAGAGGCTGCGGGGGGAGGGGGACGGCGGGGGAGAGAGGGAAGGCGGGGGGATGGGGAAGGGGCAGAGGGGGACGGCGGGAGGTGGAGTTGCAGCTGGGGGTGGTGGAGGTAACGGGGAAGAAGAAGAAGAAGAAGAAAAAGAGAGGAAAGAAAAGAAAAAGGAAAGAAAGAAAAAGAAAAAGAAAAAGAAAAAGAAAGGGAAAGAAAAAAAAAAGAAAAAGAAAAAAAAAGTTTTTCACCTTACAAAAACTTTTACAAAATTTTTCACCTAACAAAAACTTCTACAAAATTTTTTCAAAAACTTCTACAGTGCACTACAGTAAAGTTTTAGACAAACTCCCAAAAAACTCAGGTTCCAAACAGGCCCTATATGACGAAGCCCGCTTGCTAGAGAAGATTTTGGTATCCATCTCTACCTCTCGTATCCATTATTATAAATCTTTATGTATTCGACACAAGAATAAACTAAAAACTCGTATAGTACTGGCAACTGTTAGAAGATAGGGCACATGCCACAAATTTTTTTTAAGGGTATGTATCAAAAGTTAAAATGCTCCGAGAGTCTATTATGGCTTCTTTTCAGTATATATCAAAAGCTCTTTTTCAATATTTTCGAAGTTGAAAAATGGACATAGACAAAGACTTTATGCCAATCACAACATTTTTATTTATTTATTTATTTATTTTGTTTGTGATCTTTTGTCGTATATATGTAATTGTGATATTTTAGTGTTGCAATGGTGCAAGGATGACTTTATAGATAGCATAAAAGTTTCTCAAATTGTTGGGATGAATGTGATGTGGTCGGTTTTGTGCCAGTTTGTTAAATCAAGAACAATTGTGTTTGAAAGGTATAAACGCTTTAATTTTCTACTCTGATAGATTTTGTAGGAAAAAATTTATCTTGGTCTGGTTGATCAATAAATTTGCTCTATATGATATTGCGGAGTCCATTAATTTCTTATTAAATACAACCTAAATAAGATTTTGGGTCCTTATTTATTTAATTAATATTATTTTATGCCTATTAATAGCCTTGCCATGTAGTTAATTCAGACTGAGGTAAGATTTCTTGTTTTTGTATTAAAAATCTATTGGAGATTCTAAGCTCCCCATATATAGTCCTAGCCCAAGTTCATGGTTGGTTTTGTGTGTAGTATTTATACTTTAATGTATTACCAACATTTAATGTACTGTATTGTATCCTAAGAAGACAATAAAACATCTTTTTTATGGTGGTATGTTTTATGCTACTATATGGATATGGTACCGTTTCAATATTGATCTAGTAGCAATGTTTTTGGAGTAAATTTTGTATACCCTAACAGTATATACACTATCGCGATTGAATATATGATATATATGTAAAATTTGTATTTCAAATTTAATTTGTATTAGTCAAGCATTCAAATTTAATAGTATATTGTCAGTATATTAAAGATTAATTCATATTTTTTATACCATACAATTTCTTTTTGATGCAAACTTAATGGATTAGAATGAGGTGTTGATATAAACATGTTGAAAAAAATATTTACCCAATGACTATACTTTGTAAAGTTCAGAGAACTAATTTCTTTCTCGCAGGCAGCTAATGTGGTTTTGTCTTGAATTTCTTCTCGCAGGTTGCAGCAAGAATCATCAAGCAAAAGATATCCTCTTCCAAGCAGAATGGAAAGCACAAGACTTGCAGCATTTGAGAACCAATCCGACACCATTATACACCCCAAAATTCCAGCTGAAGTTATCCAAGTTATTCTAGCAAGACTACCAGTGAAGCCCTCCTGAAGCTCCTTGCGTTTCGAAATCTTGGCTTTCCTTAATCTCAAGCCCTGCATTCATCGGAATCCACCTCGACATAAGTAGCTCAACAGACAACCAACGATTGCTTCTATCAAAATGGTTTCATTCGAAAGAGATTCTTAAACATTGTCGTTTATCAACAAAACCATATTGGGGCATTGTGATGGATTGGTTTGCATTGCACTTGGGAAAAGAAATTGATTCTTGTGGAATCCAACGACAAGAAAATGCAAGAAATTGACAGGTTTGGCAATTAATCTAGATGATGATCAGTATGGTATTAGATGGGGTTTTGGATACGATGCCATTGCTGATGAGTACAAAGTATTCACTGTTGTAAGCATCCATAAGAAAGAATGTGAGCCAATTGAGACTGAGGTTATGGTTTATAACACCAAAACCGAAACTTGGAAGAGCATTGGAGAATTTCTAGGTGGTTGTCTTCCAATGGAGAACTCTAGCAAATTTCTAAGAGGGAAGCTCCATTGGTCTTACCATGAAGAAAATAAAATCGTTATTAGTTCCCTAGATTTAGCAACAGAGACATATTGGGTGGTGGACAAACTGGATTATGATGTGTTTTTTTTTTTTTTTTTTTTTTTTTCCGAAACGATATTAGAACTATATTGATCATCAACTAAACTTTACATTTGGAGCAAAGGCCCCTCATTTCTTTACAAAAGTGCTCAACAGCACAGAGGATTGAACCATTCCTCATCATGAATAATGCCTAATGCATAGTCTCCAACTTTAATGCTAATATGATTATCAACTTTAGAAATTGCACAAAAAGAGCACATATGAAACAGAGCTTTTAGGCTAAGGATATCATCCACTAGAGTATACAGTTTGATATTGGAAGCTCTTCCGGAACAGATTTGCTGAATGAGTTGCTTGTTGCAGCTCTGTATGATGACTTTCCTCCAGCCTTTGACTACTAATTTACTCATAGCTAGCTTGATAGCCTCAGCTTCGTCCAATTGTGGACAATTGTAGCTTCTTTCATGCATTGCCCAAGCCGCCACCACCACATTTCCCTTTGACATAGCAGTCACCCCTATTCCCACCTCGCTACTGTTCGGTTTCCTTAGAGCTGCAATCTTCACTTGGACCACCTCTGCATCCTCCACTTCTACTCTTTGAAACTGATTTGCAGCTGTTTCTACTGTGCTCAACTGCTCTTTGTCTTTGTACACTTCACAAAACTCTATCCACTCCTCTTGAGCTTTCTGAATTGTTTTCAGAGCATGCCTTTGGTTGTTGTTGAATTCCCACTCATTCCTGCTTTTCCATACTTGCCATAAGATATTCACCGTTAGACCCAGATGTTCATCACCAGCCTGTCTAGATCTGGCTCCTGCAATTTCATTCCACCAGTCCTTGAAGCAGCCTTGTTTCTCCCTAGCCCCCTCCCATTGCACTGGAGCTATCTGCCATACTTGCTTGGCCTGTCTGCAGTTCAAGAGCGCATGGTCCACAGTTTCCACCCCCTCCCCACAGACTTTACAGATGGGATCTCCTTTTTGCGTTCTACTAAAGATTACTTCATTGACTGGGAGAGCATTGTTGATGCATTTCCACATGAAGGTCTTCAGTTTGTGCTTGATGTTTAATTTCCAAAGGCAAGACCACATCTGTTTTGATGAACTGTGTCGGCTTGTACCTGCCCCATCATAACCATTCCTTTCCTGGATTACTTTTTCTTTCATAAGAACCTTGTAGCCCGTGTTCACTGTGTAATGCCCCATTGGAGAATGTATCCAGAAATTGCTATCTTCCTTTCCTGCTAAGCTGATGGGAATGCTTAAGATCTTTTCTGCATCCCTACCATTGAACGTTCGGAGCACTACCACTTTATTCCATCTTTTATGAGTGATTAAGTCCTGAACTTTCTGCACTTTGCATTCAGGAGGTTTAGTTGTTGAGGGTCTTCCCTCTTTGTTTCCTACTATCCACTTGTCCTCCCAAATATCAGTGCTAGTACCATTTCCAATTTTCTTCCAGGTGCCTTCCTCCACCTGCTGCGTAGCTCCCATTAGGCTCTGCCAAATCCAGGAAGCATTCTGAGGACACTTGCTCTTGAATATGGAACCAGTAGGATAGTATTTGGCTTTCAGGACCTTGGAGGCAAGCAGATTCGGATTAACAAGCATTCTCCATATCTGTTTGCCTAACAAAGCTCTATTGAAGTTGACCAAATCTTTGAAACCAAGCCCTCCCTGGTTCTTTGCTTGAGTTATTCTCTTCCATGAGCATAAATGCATCTTATCCTTTCCATCATTGTCTCCCCACCAGTACCTTGCCATCATTGCACTAAGTTCCTTGCATAGTTTCAGAGGCAATTTGAAGCATGACATAGCATATGTAGGCATTGCTTGAGTCACTGCTTTTAGTAAGACCTCCTTCCCTGCTTGGCTTAATAACTTCTGCTTCCAGCTTCCCAAATTCTTTTTAATATTGTCTCTGATGAAACCAAAGATTTGGTCCTTCGTTCTTGTTATCACCATTGGAAGACCCAGGTACTTGCCTTGGTTGACCATTTGGATATTTCCCAATCTGCGGCATACTTCTAGTTTTTTGCTATGATCCATGTTTTTGCTGAAGAAGACAGAAGACTTCTCTAGGTTGATCACCTGTCCCGAGCTCCTTTCATAGGCCTCCAGGATTCTCCTTAATTCCTCTGCATGCTTGGTGTCTGCCTTACAAAAAATTAACGAGTCATCTGCAAAAAATAGATGTGTTAGTCTAGGACCATTCCTGCTGATTTTGAGCCCAGTAAACTGCTTGTTCTCTTCAGCACTGTCCAGCAGGTTTGAGAATCCTTCTGAGCACAGTAGGAAGAGGTATGGAGAGAGGGGGTCACCCTGTCTTAAGCCTCTTTCTGGTACTACAAACTCTTTCACCTCACCATTAATATTGAATGAGTAACAGACAGATTCAACACATTTCATGATCCATCTAATCCATCTACTGCTAAAGCCCATTTTTTGCATTAAGTCCCTCAAAAATTTCCACTCCACTCTATCGTAAGCTTTAGACATGTCTAGCTTAACAGCCATGTATCCCTCCTTCCCATATCTTTTGTTTTTCAGAAAATGCAAGTATTCATGGGCTATGATGACATTGTCTAGGATTTGCCTACCAGGAATGAAGGCAGATTGGGTTTTACTAATGCAGACATTTAGCACCCCTTTTAGCCTATTAGCTAGTATTTTGGAAATCACTTTGTATAAAACGTTACACAAGCTAATAGGCCTATAATGCTTCAGGTTTACTGGATCTTTCACTTTGGGTATAAGGGAGATTAAGGTATGATTCAGAGCTCTAGGCAAGGAATTGGAATGAAAAAAACTTTGAACAGCCTGGATAACATCATGTTTGACAATACACCAGAATTTCTGGAAAAAAATGGGTGACATACCATCCATACCAGGTGCTGTATCAGGAGACATAGAGAAAAGAGCTGATCTGATTTCTTCTTCATCCACACCCCTAGTCAGTTGATCATTCATGCTTGCTGTAATGGTGGGTGGAATACCTCTAAGGATCTCCTCAGTACTACCATTCCCCTTGCTAGTGAACAGCTGTCTGTAGAAATCTGCAACTTCCTTACCTAACTCCTGTTCATTCTCAGTCCAGGAACCATCTTCTCTTTGTAGATTCAACATTCTATTCCTCCTCCTCCTCCCTTTCACATGAGCATGAAAGAATTTAGTGTTTTTATCCCCCTCCTTTAACCAGTTAATTCTTGCTTTCTGGTGCCAGAACATTTCCTCCTCCTTGTACGCCACTTTCAACTGATTTTTCAGGTCCACTGTTTCTCTTCTAGTGTCCACACGAGTGTTATACTGAAGCTTCTCCAGCTGAGATTTGAGCTGATCAATTTTCTTTTTGGCATTACAGTTGGAGTTGTTCTTCCACTTTAATAATTCAATCCTGCAATTTCTGATTTTGCACTTGATCCGGAACATTCTTGATCCCTCAAAATCTTGGTCCCATGCATTTCTGATCACATCCTGGACACCTTCTTTCTTCAGCCATCTCCTGTCAAAGAAAAACCTTTTTTTCCTCTTCCTAGCCTCTGGCTTTGTATCTATCATCAGCATACTATGATCTGATGCGAAAGTATCCACATGAGTGCATTTTACTTTGTCGAAGACTAAGGACCAGTCTAAGCTACATAAGCCTCTATCCAGTCGCTCTCTAACCTCCCCTATCTCCTCCCAATTGTTGCTCCAGGTCCAGGGATTCCCCTCAAAACCAATGTCCACCAGCTGGTTGTCGTTTATGAAATTTTTGAAATCAGAGAAACTCTTCTCCTCCCTCCATCTACCCCCCCACTTCTCCTCATTTGAGAGGATATCATTGAAGTCTCCTGCTATAATCCATTTCCCTCCCCACAGCCTTTTCCTCTCCTGGATCACCTTCCATTGACTTTTCCTAATCAGATTATCGCAGCTTGCGTATATTCCAATGAACCACCATGTTGTCTTAGTCTCAAAATCTTCCACCTGAGCTTCTATAGTGAAAGCAGTTTTGAGAATCTCTCTAATTTTTACTTCATCTTTCCACATCAAAGTCATGCCCCCCGACCTATTCATTGACTCTACTACACAGCTATTCTCAAAATTCAACTTCTCCCTTACTGTATTCATGTACCTTTCTCTATTTTTCGTTTCACTCAAGAACAGCATATTTGGGGAGAGGAGGTTGGAGACCTCCCTCAGATGGGGAATTGTCAAGGTGCTCCCCACACCTTGGCAATTCCACACCAGAACTTTCATTGGGGTTTGGGGGCCCAGATTAGGCTGGTCCCCTCCTCCTCTTTTTCCTGAACCATAGAGCAAACCTCCTCGCATCCTTTGTTTCTTTTTCCCCCTGTCTCCCTGCCTTCAACCTCTTCCATTTCCTCATCGCATAACTGAAATTTCCTTTTCCCCTGACCTCCTGAGTCTTTGATATTGATGCAGATCTCCTTTAGGGGAGTTCTTCTCTTCAAAGGGGATCTTAACTGCTTCTTCAATCTCCTATTCTGTCTTATGACAGCTTCTTTCTTCTTGTCCTCAACCATGAGGTCCAATAAGGTGATTTCATTTATATTCTCCTCCATTATTCCACCTGACCCCTGGTTCTCAACCCCTTTTCCTTCTTCCATCTTATTATCCTTCCCATCTATTCGTCCCTCTTGTTGAGTGGGTTCCTTCAACTCCGCACTGGCCGTGACCTTCTTCTTACTTGAGACCATGTTTTGTCCCCTGGCCTCTGTTGTCTCAGCCTCCATGTTCAGCTTATAGAGAGATGCAACAATAGTTGCTTCCTTGTCCTGCCTGTTCCCCATCACCTTAGGGGTTATAACTGGCTGACTTGTCACATAGCTGTCCTCTTTTCCTTGTTTGTTAACCTGTTCCTGCATCTCTAATGCCTGACTTGGAGAGTCTACCTGAGTTGCAGATGGAACATGACTGCTCAGCCCAGGGTCCTGTTGTCTTTGTTTCACCACTTCCACCCAGTTCCCATTGTGTAGTCTCCAGTGATGTTTGTCACTGGTCCCTCTCTTAGCCAAAGGTTCTTTTTGAGGTGAGCTTCTTCCATTCCCAGCTCTCATCCACGTGCCATACTGATTTTCTAGATGACCTCTATCTATCAAGACCAGTCTCTTGCAATTTCTCTCGCTATGTCCCACTATTCCATAGTTATAACAGAAATCTGGGCACCTCTCGTACTTGAAACTCACCCATTTAGTAGACCCTTCCATCTTAACTATTGTCCCCCTCAGTAAGGGTTGAGAGATGTCAGCTACCACCCGTAGCTTAATATGTCTTCCTTCTTTGCTACCCGTCTGGGGGATAATAACCTCATGAACTCGGTTGAAAACAGCTCCAATTTTCCTTCCCACCTCCTTTGACATCCAGTGGGCCGGCAGGTTCCAGACTTGCACCCACAAAGGGGCCTCATTGAAAGCCTTTTCATCCTCTTCGATCCCTTCATACCACCTATTCAACACTAGAAGCTGGCTATCCATCATCCATGGCCCTCCCTCTAGAATCCTTTCCCTTTCTTGCTCCCCATGAATGAGAAACTGAAAAAAGTTAGGTCCTAGTTCAACAACTTTGAGGTCTTTAGGATAACCCCAAGCTGCCGTGGCAAAGCTTTTCACTCCCGTGTAGTTCACTATTTTTTCACCCTTAAATTTCCCAAAGAGGCTCGACTGGCATTCTGTCACCCCTAAGTTAACTTCCTCTCTGTCCAAGCAAGCCCCTCCTAGCTCCTTGCTAGAGAGCGCGAACTTTCCTAGGATCTCAGCCAGATCCTCAGCCATGGAGTCCCTGAGAGATCCTTGGGTATTCCACCAACCAAGAGTAGCCGAGCACTATGTTACTGACTGGGGCTGTAGAAGAAAGCAGAGATACGAAACTACCGAACCTATACAGAGAAAGAAGTAAAGAAAGACGAAAAGCAGAAAAGAAAAGCACAAGGAAAGCTAAACACAAGGTAAGTCAGATCCATACTGTTAAGACTAGAAAGTCTAAAGCTTACTCAACCCATATGAAGCGACTCTTAAATCTGGTTCACTCTCCTGATCTTTGTTCTCTTTCTTTTTTTTTTCCTCACCCCTGCTGTCAGGTAGGAGACCCAGCAAAATTATCGCGTGCGTAAAGTAGATGTTTCATGCATCAAAGTTCCTTATGCTTTAATTCGGAGAAGGAAACTGATTTTGGTTTGTGTTTGCTTCAGACGTAGAAGTTTAGAAGTTTGAGGTTTTGGGATTTGAAGTTTGAAATTTTGAAAAAGGTGTGACTTTTTCAGCGCTCCCACCAAAAGGGAGAGCAGCTCTCAATGAAGAGAGAGAAAGCTCTCATAAGAGAGAGATCTCAAAAATTGGGTTAGAGATCCACCGAAGTGGGTAGCCTTAACCGGATGTGTTGGTAACAGGTAAAGCCCGAAGGCTGTTCCCGTCCCTGTCGGGGGAGATGCCAACCATCTCTCCTTTCTACGAACACAGGATTATGATGTGTTTTGTAATGCAAGATTGGATGTTTTTCAAGGAAGCCTTTGCTTGCTTCGTCACCAAGATCATGAAGACACGGAAGTATCAAGTGTGGGTTGTGATTTGTGAAGGATTATGGAATCAGAAAGTCTTGGAGTAAGAAGTTCTGCATCCCACGTAATAGATCCCCAAGGCATATGGTCTCTAAACTTGTCTGTTTCTTAGAACACAATGAAGTTTTAGTGATCTGTCGATCGAATTTGGCATTTCACAATGTTAAGGATAATTGCTTCAGGGATGTCCTGTTTAGGACATTTGATGCCTGTGTTTATGCTGAAAGTCTGATTTCACCAACTGCTAATAATGGATTTGAGAGGCCCCAGCTGCAAGGCAGGCTAAAAAACAAAGATGAGATCATTGGATGTTAGTTTAAGCACTATAACCAAGTTCTGGTAAGATATCTGTTCTTTTCCCAAGTTGTTAGTGTAGCTCTTGCACCTTTTTTTCGAAGGCAATATCCTTCCCTATGTGGCTTGCTATTATGAAACCTTCAACAAGATTTTCTTATGTAACATATATGAAATTTAACTTCTTCAAAGCAATGAATCAAACATAAGAAGGAAATCAGTAATACTTGAACATGATGTATAAGTAGTTCTTTAACTTCTTGATGCTATGAACAAATAGTTGATGCTCTGATATCTGCTACAACACGTTTTACTGCTCTGGTACTTACTTAGTTTGGTTTCAAAAAAATTATCGCACAAAGGTTGTTAATTCCCTTACTTCGAGAATGGCCTTTTCTTCGGGTCTCAACATGCGCTGAGAAAGCTGGAGTTGAGATTGGCTTTCACAAGATTTGACAGATAGGCTGCTGCAAGGAGTTTTGGCTTGCTTCTGCAAAGAACCTCATTTATATGATCTATAGAATGAAGGTTGATAATTTCTTTTTCTCATTGTTCATAGAATTGGCACTAATGATCTGAAGATTGAAAGTTATATTGTTTTGGGTATGGAATTAGCTCTGCAAAATAGTCATAATTGTGTGGATGGCTAGATTTTTTTTTTCTTTTTTCTTTTTTCTTTTTTTGGATGAGGATGGTATGATTTCAGTTATATATTTCTCACTTGTTGTTCAAATTAATATTCTACTAAAAAATAAAATTAGTAGGATTAGTCTTATCGGTCCATAATAGTGAAACCAATCATAAAACTGTCTAGCTTTCTGCCCCTGTTTTTTTTTTTTTCAAAATCAAATACGAAAGTATGTTTATTAATGACTTAGGCAACTTTGCAATAGCAAGTAGAGGGTGTAACCATTCCATGAATAATACCAACAGGTATACAAAAATCGTGAGAGATAAAGTATGTAAAAGCCAAATCCAAAAATTTTTAAAATTTTTTTTACACAAATGGTAAATTTTAGTAATATCAAGAAATCAGGTTACACTCCTTCGTACAATACATTCCTGAAACTCTACAAATACATGCTATATCAAAATTCTGGTAGGGATCCCCCACTCCACCAACATCCTCCAATTCTCCTTAGTCCTAGGAATTTTATCCCAAGACACAGTTGCATGATGGACTGTGTTAACAATGTCAAATCCAAGAATAGGTGAATAAGAGCCATTAATTCTCTTCAATTACACATAAGTCTGCGTACCCATAAGAGGAAAGACAAGGAAAAGGAGGAGGGAGAAGGGAGGAGAGGTGACAAGGGATGAGTGGAAGGGTGCTGGAAGGTAATGGTAGAAGTGGGAATATGGAGAGGGTCGCGGTTAGAAGAGGAAAAGGTGTGTATGTATTTGGGTGTCTTGGCAAAATTTTGGGTGTTTTTACTAAGTTTTGTACTTTAGCATACTTTTAGTAAATTAGTATAGATGGTGTTTTCAATAGACTTTTGTCGTTCTAAAACAGGCCGAAAACAAACCATCAAGACACACTCTTCATTTCAACCAAAACAAGGAAATAGCAGTACCTCTTCCAAATACACAACAGCATATGCACTCACATATATGTATATACATACGCTTTAAACACTAAAACATGACATTGCCCTCTTTTGGCTTATATTTAACAAGAATTTCACAGTAGAAAAACATCGCAACTATTACTATTCAACACCATTTAGCTTTCAATTACGACAAGCAATCACACGCAAATGGCCATAGTTGGGGTAGCTAGGGGCATTTGGTCTTGTTGCCGTGGGTAGTCATGTCAGTGTAACACTTTCCACACAGCTCCCTGTTGCCAAAGGTCCCTGGTGGCACACATTTGCACCTAACACAACAAGTCCCACATGCCCTGAGGCACACATTTGGCCTAGAGTGCAAGCTGCATCTATGGCTGCACAATCCACCACAGTCCAGGTGAGCATAATGGGGAGCTGGAGCTGGAGCTGGAGCTGGAGCTGGAGGAAGATGTTGCCCAATGTTGAGATATTTTGAAAGCCTCAGGGCTGCAATCATCCCAAGATATACAATTATAAATTAGTAGATCTAGTTGCAGTATTAAGTGGCTTATAACAACTTAGATCAATTGTTTTTAACAAGTGACAACTAATTTATGTATGAGCCAGTCCAAAATAATCTAAATGAACCAAATTATGCCTTATTTGGATTGAGATTTTTCCCAAAAAAAATATTTACGTTTTCTGTTAACACATTTTTCAATTACCTATTTAACTCAAACACATCAAATCGTTACAGTACATTTTTCTATATAAACTACAGAAAATAACAATCCAAACGAGCTTGAGTAACTCTTTTCTTGCATTCGCTGTAAATCTACAATGAAGAATAGAGTATATTTTTGAAGGATTTGAGTCCTAAGTAGCTAGGGGACTTGTTGAGGGTAGTTCTTTAACTAAATCTTTGAATTGTTAACCTTTTCTAATTACCATAAAATAGTGTTCACTTGTCTACCGCAAAATGTGAGCTTTTATTTTTAAGATCAAAATCTCTCTCTCTTTGTGAATATGCGCATTTTTCCTTCTAAGTCATCTAATTTTCTAGTTTGGATTTTGGAAACTCTCTGATCCAAAATTTTACAAGCAGAACTTTGGAAAGAAAATTACTTTAAACATGAAATAAGCCTAATTTACGGAAACCTAATGTTTTTGACAATTTGCACAAATAGGAGATAACAGAATAAAAAGACAAAAAAAAAATGCAGATATCGAGAAGTATTTCCTTTTATGTTGTTTATTTTGTCCTTCAAGAAAGATGAATTTTTAATTATTAGCATACTTTTGTTCAGAGAACAATGATTAGAAAAAACCTTTTTGTACCACCCTAAACTTAAAACAATGAAAAAGTGAAATGAAGTTCGGGTGGATGCTACTTTAAAACTAAAAAAAAAAAAAAAAAGATTTAGCTGTTAAAGTTCTAAAAGAGAAGAAACTGAAACAAGCTATGGAACTCCTCAAGGCTAACCTATGCCTTGCACCAGTCTTCTCTCTGCACCTCTGGTAAACACCTGGAACCAGAATAAAGAAATGAAAAACGCTGAAATCTTTACTAAAAACCATCAGCAAATCTTGCCACTTAAGTATTTGAAATTCTGATCAAGACCCAAAAATCAGCCACAAAGATGAAGACAAAACAGACAGCTAAAAGTGAAGGAAAATAAGCAAAAGTCTAGAGCTAAATTTACATGAAATGCCTGGCTAATATGTGCTGGTTCTTCTTCATTGACAGTGGAATGAAGATCTGATGAAACCTGCATCAAGGGCACTGTATAAATACCATAGCAGAAGCCAGGAATTTACGCAGAAACCATTTCTGAGGTATAGCATAATATGGTAGAGCTTTTCAATTTTACCTGAGCGACGCAGAAAAGCAGAAACAAAACTAGATGGAATGCACGTAGTCCCATGAGTAGTGCTTCAAGACTCCAGCGCAAGGCTTCAATTCACTGGAAAGGTACCTGAGGCTTATTAGTAAGTATATTTTTAAGCTGGATATGGTCTATATAAAGAGGATTGTGGGAGTAGTATTTTTTTTTTTCTTGGGTTCCCAAAATTTTCTCTGTTTTTTGGTAAGAAAGAGAAATAAGTTCGGTGGTTTTAGTTCTGGTTACTTTCACTGGTCAGATTATGTCTCGAAATCATAAATTGCTTATGAAATATTTACAGATTATTTATCGGCATGGCCCCCGAACTAATAATAGGACTCGATTACAACCTTTTTATAAAGAAGTGATCTCTGTCTTTTTTAACTAAGAATTTACCTTTATCGTTGATTTGAGGCATTACAAGTTAACGATCAAACAGTTATATACAATCATATATTCCTTTATGCCTCATATATTTAGTTAAACTGAAAAGTGTAAATAAATCTTTTACAATAATTAATATTTGAAAAAGATTAACCACGTATCATGCATTTCAATTCTATTTTCACTAAATATTAAATAAATGCAACATTTTTTTTGTCTCATTCTGTTTTAAATTGGGAAGATTTAAGCATGTCAAAATATCAAAATAGGTTCTAAAAATCGTTCCCAAAGTACGAGTGACACAGTAAATAAGACGGAACAATTATCAAAATTGTATATAGTTGTACTATGTGTTGTCCGAAAAAATTCTTTTGCTTCGCACTCCACTCATAAAATGCACGTCAAGTTACATTGAGTAAAGTAGCATTTCTTTAATTGTTTTTTTATTTTTGAGACTCTATTAGCATTACATATAATGTCAAAGCTATAGACATGTATAAAACTCCATCAATTATTACTTGTATCGCTTGAGATTTTAAATATTCTTGATTTAAAATGAATAGAAATATCTACAATATAGGAATAAGAAGATAGGACAGTTCACCTCTCAATATATTTTGGAATTCTTTTGTGACTAAGAGCTGTTGGTAAGTTTTAAAGTCACAATGTATATGAGATCCATATATTATTTTGTTTTAGTGTAAATTACCTTTTATCCCTTTAATTTAATATTTTATCATATAAGCCCGCTATGTTTCAAAATCTATATATAACCCCCTTATGATTTGCGTTAAAATATCACCACTAGTTTTTTGGATTAATCTTTCCTACTTGATGAATGACAACTATGCAAAATTTGAATTTAAACTCCAACTTTTGCATATGGTCATGGATCCAACTTTTTCATCTTTTTTGTTTCTTATTTATTTATTTTTATTTCTTTTCCATTTCTTTTGTATTTGGAGAAAATTAAGATTTTGTAGGCCAAAGTATAGGTTTTCAAAATCATCTCTTCTCTTCCCAAAAAAAAAAAGAAAAAAAGAAAAAAAATAGTGAAGATTAAATTTGTCAATTTTATTAGTTTGATTTTAAATTTCTATTACTGATCGTTAATTTTAACAAAAAAAAACTAATGGTTATACTTTAATCCAAACTATAAGAAGATTATATATAGATTTTTAAACTATAAGGGATTATGTGATAAAGCACCAAACTATAGGGGAATAAAAGGTAATTTACCCTTTGTTTTATTCACGACCACAGAGAAATCCGCTGTAAATAGATATCAAAATACCCGAACCATGCAAGCTAAACTTGTGGTGCCTTTGAGCAGTTACCTAACCCTAATAAAAGAAAAAAATGATGCAGTTATGCAATAACCATGAGTGTCAACCTTAATCGTGAGTATGCCTTGTTTGGATTGTGGTTTTCTACAAAAAAATTTTTACGCTTTTAATGAATATATTTTTCAATCACCACTTTATCTCATATACATTAAATCACTACACTATATTTTTATTACATGGCCCTTGAGCAATCCATCTTGCTGCTCTATATCAATCCGACTTAAAACTTTAGTACAATCCATCTCAAACCTGGGACCTGTCATTTTTTTTCCTTAGCAATGTAAAATAAACTCACAAAGAAAGATTGTAATAATATCCACGAAGAAAATGAAATGACTACTAAATTTTAATTTGGACCATTAAATCATTGGCATACTTTTACTTTAATTTTTAAACTTCATGTTTGGTCGCTTTACCCTTTATAATATGAAATTTATCTCACTTTAGTTTTTAAACTTTACTTTTGAATACTTTACACTCTAAAGTATG